CTCTTTCACAAGTCACTGGTGATAAAACAAGAGGGAACCGCCTCAAGCTGTGCCAGGAGAGGTTTAGACTAGACATTAGGAAGAACTTTTTCACTGAAAGGGTCGTCAGACATTGGAACAGGCTGCCTAGGGAGGTGATTGAGTCAACATCCCTGGATGTGTTTAAAAGTCATCTAAATGTGGTGCTTGGGAATATGGCTTTGTGCTGGAGCTGGTAGAGTAGGGTTAATGGTTGGACTTGATGATCTTCAAGGTCTTTTCCAACTTAAGTGAGTCTATGATTCTGTGATTCTCTAAGTGCTGTAAGGGGCTTATATCCATGAACAGTATTTTGTCTGTCACTTGTGCAAGTTTCTGTGTGGACTTCTTTCTCCTGCTGCCTGATGGGAAGAAATGGACAGTCATCTCTCTAGTGACTTTATCTCACCATCAGGAATGAGTACAAGGGGTCAGATGCCCCTCTGCATGCTAGCCACCATCTGCTGACAGCAGCTCTCCTTTGGGAGAGCTGGCTTTGTTTACTGACTGGGCTAATATGAGGAGACACGTGAAGTACTTTGGTTTGTGGAAGAGGGCAGGAAAGGCACGGTGCTGTGAAAACATTCCCACACACTCTAATGGCTCATTCACATAGAAAACAATCCAGAGCCTTCAGCTCTTTCACAGAGCTCAAAGTTGAACAAACGGACTCAAGAACCCCAAGGCACCAGTCGAAAAACGCTTTTCTAATGCGCTAATACTGACATGCTCTCCGTGATAGCTTACCTATGAGACTTCAGCTCTCCTTTAAGCAGCTAAATGATCTGGCTAGATTGAAAAGCTACTCAGTATCCAGTAGTTGTGGTTGTTCCCTGTTAGCTGCTAAATTATTTTTTAAAAATCTAACCTTCAGTTTCCTAAACCTAAACCTTCTAACCCTTATTATAATAGGTGGAGCATGACTTGGAGAATTATATCAGTATAGTCACCAAACTAATCGTTTTCTCTTTAGAATAAAACCTGTTAAATGCGGAAGAAAAACAATATGCCTAAAGAGATACATTTATTTGCTCAATAGTTGGTAAAGGCACATACAGATACACACGAGTAACTGTAGAATATAACTTGAGTATTGAAAAGAAGTGACTTTCTGAATTAGGTCTCAAACACAGTTGGGATACATGTCATGGAAAAGCTGTTTTAAGTGATGAATGACATTTAGTTAACAGCAGCATTCATTATTCTGGTCTAAAATGTATAAGAAGATGAACAGTGATACCAGGTCAGCTCACAAGTTCATGTAGCTCAGTATCTGACCTCTAACACCAGCCTGTATTATATGATTAGAAATAAAGCATAGAAGTGCTATGAAAGTCCTTAGTCCTTGCATTTTGAGAAATACTTAATTACGATACTGTCGTCACCTACTCCATGACACTCATCATTTTCTCATCTTTCCTTCATTCATCTCTTTACTTCCTGAAGAGTTCTAGTCTAAATTATTTTCATAGAGAAGCCACTTCATATTTGTTACCATGTTTGTTGCTCTGTCATTTCCAGTTATTTAATATCTCCTGTTCATTGCTGAGTGGACTGGAACTACAAACTCCGTACTGTATGGATATACCAGCCATAATATTTGATGATATTTGATCACTATTGAGGATTGAACTAATATTTTCATAGAGGTAGCCATAGTAATTCCATAATCTTAATTCCTGCATGAGACTATTAATTGTAGCCCAGCAAAATATATATGCATGTATATATAGACATATACACACAGACACACACAGCCCATATTTATTTTGAAATATAATATATATGCATATAATAATCTGCATGTCTGTCGTTAGCTCTGTTATATGTTAACTCTGTTTCCCCTCATGGGCATTAAGTTACATGTATTCAATTTTCTGCTTTCATATAGCTCCATTACTCACTAGTGTGAAATTCCTAAACAGTTTTTTATAATTGGATTTTGTCTTTGTTGAATTCTCAGTAACTCACTGTCTTCTGTTTCCAGATTATTTAGGGGTATATGTTGAGCAGTACAGTTGCCAGCATAGATCTTTCTGAGAAATCAGTTATAACCCTCCACCAGAATGAAGAATGACTTCCCCTTTCCTAACTTTTACTTCAACAGAAGACCTGATCTCTTTTAATAGAGCTTCATGTCTTTCAGAGTCCTTGGTGGGAAACTTTTGAGAACAAATGTAATCCATTCATTGACATCTTGACCCTGCCAATAAAAATTCAACCAGTGTACCTATAGTGATGTAACATCTTTGAAGAGTGGGACTAAAATATACACACCCCCTTTTCCACATTTACTCCATCTGAGTTCTTGTCAAAGTTAATACAGCTCAAGAATTTGTTGAAATGGATATGACTATCCAAAAGTATCAGGTCAAATATGTTAACAAGAGCAGGAGCACAAACTTACCCGAAGTTGAAAAATGAGTGTTACATTTGCTTTAGTTTTTACTGCTTCTGAGGGAAGGTTGTGTCTAATTTAAACTTAATTCTAAAAATATTTGTATTTGGCCTGAAATAACCCTGCTTTGAGAATGTGCCGCTGCAAATGTGACGTTTTTGAAAAGGTTTCACTTTCTTGATACAGAAGGGTATTGTTGAGTTCCATCTTCCAATGTTTAATATACTACTTTTTCTTGAAAAGTGTGGTATAGATCAAAGGGCAAGATTTGGCCCTTAGTTACCTGCTGTTACTGGCATTAATCTCACAGCTATTGAAAAATGATGCATCAAATTTATATCACTGCAAATGTCACTATTCTGAATCTTGCATATGTTGCCTGAGCTGTCAGTAATAAAAATCTGTTCATAATTATTCTCCAGTTTAAAAAATCATAGAATCATAGAATCATAGAATCATAGAATCATAGAATCTTAGGGGCTGGAAGGGACCTCGAGAGATCATCTAGTCCAACCCCCCTGCCAGAGCAGGGTCACCTAGAGTACATCACACAGGAACTCATCCAGGTGGGTTTTGAATGTCTCCAGTGAGGGAGACTCCACAACCTCCCTGGGCAGTCTGTTCCAGGGCTCTGTCACTCTTACAGTAAAAAAATTTTTTCGGATATTCACCTTGAACCTCCTATGCTCCAATTTACACCCATTACCCCTTGTCCTATCACTGGTCATCACTGAGAAAAGCCTAACTCCATCCCCCTGACACTCAAAAATAATAGTTTTCTCATAACCTAGTCAGTAGGAAATTGATATTTTCTTTGGCTGGAACCATTTTAATTATTTGGTACCTCTATAAATTCTGTGTGCGTTTATAATATAACAGCTTTTGCAAATGAGTAGTAGTTTTCCTTTTAAATCCCTATGGCTGTCAAGAAAAGCAGATATTTTTTTTTTTTTAATTAAGTGTTAAAGTGACTAACTTAAGGAAAACATTTTAGGATAAAACCAATTCAGCAGAAAACCAGACATACAAAAATAGGATTATATGTGTTACAGGGACGCAAACTATAAAAACGTATAGTTAAAAGTAATCATATTGTATATTTTAAACTTTTGTCCATCTTATTGTTTTTCCATAATAGGATATATTAGGGCTTATATTTTCCTTAGTGATGCTAAACAGAACTGATTTCACTGTGGTGAGAAAATGAAAATAGCAAAGAATATTAAGAAAATATAAGAAGAAAAATTAAGGCTTTGGATAATATCAGATTTTCTGGTTGGAAGCAGAATAGTCCAGACTACAAATCCTATTTGCTTTTAATATTTATTTATATTTTTTTTTACTCCTTATCACAATGCTTCTTCCAGTTAATTACCTTCACTCAAAGCCCAAAGAAGTGAACAGAAAAGACTCCCTTTGAAACTTTGGACTAGTCTCATAGATAAGATAATTAGTATGACATTCTACCTTCATTAGAGGTTGAAGGGTTTAAATATGCAAAGTAATGTGCTCTCTTTTATTTGTTTTTTTCAGTGTGATAATAGAGTCTAACATTTGAGGTCATTTGGAAACAAGGATATTAACAGCTAATCTATAAAACACAAATGATATACAGCTAAAAAAAATAATTCTTTTTCTTGTCCATCTGATCTTGGCAGCATGTATTTCAACAAGAACTTGTAAAACATTTAATACAAAACACCCTGGTTGAGTCTGAATAATATTTCATTGCCTTGTTTGGTTGCTTCTCAAACCAGGCTGCTGTATTACTGTTTACGTTTCTGGTTGTATCACTGTATGTGAAATTCTAGACAGCATTTATCCTTGCTCCTTGAAGTCAAGCAAACTAATATGTATTTTGCAGAGACATTATTTATTTAAATACTTTAGATGTTTAATACCAACATGATATGTAACAAAAATATTTAACTGAGTGCAAAGAAGTACTAGAAAGTTCAACAAAGCTAGATGAGTAGTTGCTGATGGGTTTTTTTCTGCCTTTTATTGCATTGAATCTGTGCACTAATTGAGACAAAGATCTAATGGAAAAAATTATATGTGGTGTCATAATTAAAGACTATAATAGTGCATGCACAGAAAGGTTGAATTATAATTGTACACATTGTCTGGAAAGAATTATGTAGAAGAGAATTCAGTAGAGTCTGGAGCACTGACTTTTCCTTTACCACATTTTATATACATACGTATCATATATTGAAACAACGGTCCACATAAATTTCTAAACTGCAAATGTCTCATTCTATGAGTGTCAGGTAACCTAAAAGAAGTCTCTCCTGTTTTCTCATATAGTGAAATTATTTGTTCAGTATGCATGTATTAAAATAACCCATGGAGATTATTGTATTTTAGAATAATTTTGGTCAGTGTATTTTAGAATGGTGTGATAACAGATTCAGATGTGTCCAGCATTAAAGCTGCAATCACCTTTTAGGAGTCATCATTTTTGCCAGTTCTTTTCTCTGCATCTTTTATTATCAGTTGGTCTTCTGATAATTCTTGGTAGTTGGAATGACCACTGTCAAAATGCTGTCTAGATGAAACATGTTATTTTCAACTTTTGCAGATCTGAGTGACCAGCTTATGGAAGTGGTTGGTCTGGAAGGAGCCATGGAGATGGGACAGATATACACAGGTCTGAAAAGTGCTGGAAGACGGCTTGCTCAGTGCTCATCTGTTGTCATCAGGTATTAGCAGCTTTAATTTGCACTGCACTGTTGTAGTGCAAGTTTTACGTAATATCAGTTCACTTTCTTTGGCATTTTATTAGTCATAATTACTGTACTTATTTCTCATTAAATAATCATTTTTGTATATGAAATATATCCATTCCATCTCTATTCTATACTCATACATCTTCCCTTCATTAAATGCATAAAAAAAAAATAGGAAAAGGGAATTTACATTCAATCTTCACATGTAGTCAACTATCATTTCATCCTATGAAAAAGTATTGTCCAGCAGTTGGAGCAGGCATGCACATCTTGGGTTTTATTATTGACATATACCACACAATTTTGAACAAAACATCATTTAATACTACTTTGACACATTTTAACCCATTTATACAGCATACTTCACCAGGGAATAGTAGCATGTAATTAGTCATTGTAAAGCATTTTTTTTATCTGCGGAAGTCGAAGTGATCTGTTTCTAATTTATTTGTTACTTACTGAATGCTGACAAGTCAGTATTAATAAATGTGTTGGTATGTATAAGCTGCTAATGGTGGAGCTACTTTAGTTGTGTTTTATCTTTTACTATGCTAAAGGTGACCAGAACATTCACAATAGAGGAAACCTGAATCAGAACTGAAGGAAAAATATTTATTCTAAGTTTTGGTTCAGTGAAGAATTTTCAGAAATCTTAATAATATCATAAGTGATACAATTATAAGCCTTAAAAGCCTAAAATGAGCATGAAACAGAATAACAATAATAAAAACTTTTAAAAAATAAGCACAATTTGCAGAAGCACCTGACATTTTTGGGATTGTCCTTAAGGATTGGGTGATGTTGACTTCAAAAGTACTTTCTCATGTGGATGACGAAGAGAAATAAGATCACCAAGGCATTCCAACCTTCTCTGGATACCAAGAGATACTTTTCATAATCCCAAATCAGCAGGACTTCAGCTGCCAAAGATTCAGAACCCTTCCAAACCCATAATGTGAGAGCACATTGAACATTGTTTCGTTCCTCTGCTTATGACCAGAGGTGACACTGGGTAATTCCATGAACTATTAGTCATTTTCAACTAGTGCCCAAGGCAGAATTTCTGCTGACCAACATAAGTGCTGAGTTAACTCATTTTTCCATTATTAGATTTATCTGCTCCATATGATCTAGTATTCTTATATGCAAACCATTATAATGCAGAAATACAGAGTTGGAATAGACCCAAAAAGATAATCCCTTTTTTTTTTCTTTTTTCTTTTTTTCCCCTCATTTATCTATACTTTTCTTAATGTGATATCCAAAAATAGACAGGGAACACTGGCTATAGCCTTATGTTAGAATCAGTGCCCCTATAGTAACAATTAAAGTTTATAACATGGTATGTTAAAGCTTCTGAATATGGTACAACAGACATGTTGTGTGAGTGCTTTGTCTAACCCAGACTTAGATGCAAACATAAACACAGCTTTTATAGTTCTAATATATGGTGATGATAGATCTAAAATTTCTTTCCAATTTTCTTTATTGTAGGTAGTCTGTATTTTAAAAAAAGAGCAGAGCTTCCTTTGTCTTTTCAGTTAATGAGGTTTATTCCTGAAGTTCTTGAATTTCACAAATTCTATATTTCACATATTATAGGCTGTTATGCTAGTGAGAGTTATATATTACTAACAAAATGTGTGAATGTTTGCAATTTTTTTGCGTTGTGTGGTGAAATTCAAACTAAGCCTGCTAAGTTAGGCTAAGTAAGTTACTTTTGTTGAGTGTGTTGGGTCATACTGGAAATTGCATAGAAGCTTAGGGGTAAATAAGTATTGTATGCGCATGCTGTCACATATATCTCTCCTTAATAAATATATTTATCAGGTTTGTCTTGTTACTTTTACTTATACTATGAAATATATCACTTTAGGACCAGCAAGTCTCTGCCTATGCAGATAGATGGGGAGCCTTGGATGCAAACCCCTTGCACGGTAAGGATACTGAGAATACTCGGGATACTGGGATACTCTGAGAAGAGAGCTGAACAACAAATTTAGGAACTTTTTTAATTAGAAACAAAAATTACAGTAGTCAGAAACATTAAATTATTTATTTACCTTCACTTCTATTACAGAAGCAGCAACTTTCAGTTTAGAAGACAACCAATGTCATTAGCATCAATGCAATTTACTTAGGTAATATCTGCACACACTCTCATTAAGTAGTTCAACACCCACTGCATTTTCAATTTAGCTTGCTGTTTTTTTCCCACAGGTTAGGATGGTAATAAGGCATTTATTTTGAAAGTTTGGAAAATACTCAAAGGATGCAGTCCCAGCATCCCTTTACCCAATGTGAGAATTCATTTATGATATGTCAGATTTACAGTCTCTATTGCTGAGGAAGAACCAATGTTAATTTTGATGCTAAAGTCTATAAAGTAACAAATCAGTCTTCAAATATTTAGGAAGATCTTCCAAAGTGCTTTTGAGAGTTCTTATCAAGGACAATTTATTAAAAGCTGGAGTCTTGACTATGCTGATTGAATTATATAGTACAACTACTATTTTCAAAATCCTTACAGCTGAAAGGAGAAATTAAGGAAATTATTTAGTCTCTTGTTTCAGTGCCCACAGATTTGGCAGGGAAACAGCAATTTGGATTGGATTGGATATGATAGAAGTTTGCTCAGAGGATGTTCTTTTAGTAACTCTTTATAGATAACACAAGAAAGGTGTAGCTTTAAGAACATTCCATTTTTTTTCTCTTTCTGGTAAATTATTGTGACTAATAGCATTTGGAGATGATGTTGAAGAAATGTAAGCTCTTTATTGTCAAATATGAAGTCCCATGTTTTTAAGTACATGACTTGCTGTAAACTTGCAGTTTGTATGACAAAACAGTAGTATGACAAGGCAAAAATCCCACTACAGATAGGACTAATTCTCCAAAACAGGGTACAAGGATCACTTTGATGGACTTTATGTCTGTAGTAAACTTAAAGACTACACCAAAAAAGTAAAGGGAGCACCTTCAGTAAGGTGCTAACAGGTGTGGCAGCTGATAGTGTATAGGTTAGGATGAAATAAAAGCGTTGTGATAGTTCATGCTTGCCAGATACACCATAGTGTACAGCTGAACAGTGGGGAGAGTGCCTGAACTCTAATTCTCTATGGTAAGTGCTCAGATGCTGCTATGAGAGGAGAACCATGTGAACACATACTGTGTGAAGGCAGGACAGTGAGGATTTTGAGATTTATTCCCATAAACCTTTTGGAGTTAAGTTAACCTTTTCTACAGCTGTGGCTCAGTGCAGAGCAACAGTCCTGAACCCAGCAGTTACTTGTTCAAGAAAAAGACACATAATTTTCCACTTGCTAGATTACAGAAGAGAATTTATGATTGCTTGATCTGTGCCAAATCCCTGCTATCTGATTGATAATACTAGCAGAAGCTTCCTGTGCAATTGAGGACAAACCTGGAAAAAGAGACAGTTCTTACATTTCTATTACTGCCTTGAGGAAACAGTAAATTATTACTGATAATTACTGATTAAATACCGTTTTGAAAGGGACAGAAATAGCAAATTCTTTTCTGTGGAATCCATCCTTTTTGTTACACCATTGTTAACAGAATAGACTGTATTACATAAGAAAACCATACTGTTGAATCTATTTATTTCCTATGAGAAGAAGATGTATGAACTATTTGTCTAAACTACTGCATCTCTGTGAATATAGATACAGACTTACAATTTTATCTTATTCATTTTTCATGATTTGTTTGGTTTTTTTTCTGCTGGAAAGCTTAATGTATTTATCACAATTGCTCCTTGCGTTATTGTACATCTACCCTGCTCTATTTTCTACATCTTACAAAAGAAAACAAATGTATGGTCCAAACTCTCTCCTCACCACTAATTTTAACTACACT